CTTTATATAAGCCTTGGATTAAAGGTTACAAAAATTCATGAAGCTCTAAAATTCCATCAATCCCCATGGATGAAGCCCTATATAGAGGAAAATATTCGCAAAAGAAAAATTGCTAAAGCATCTGGGGACGAATTTGGAGTTATGTACTATAAATTAAAAAATAATGCTGTCTTTGGTAAGCAAATGGAAAATGTCCGAAAACATATGAGAGTAGAATTACTTAAACCTGATGAGGACAAAAAACTTAAATGTCTTACCTCATCTCCTTTACATGTAGGTTTTAAGGCTTTCGAAGGCGGAATTACAGCCATCCATATGCTAAAAAGCCAGATTACTCTAAATAAGCCGATGTTTGTAGGACAAGCAATTCTCGATATTAGTAAGGCTATGATGTATAACTTTTGGTATGGCTATATTAAACCCCGTTATGGGGAAAAGGCCCGCCTTCTTTATACTGATACCGATTCACTAATTATGTGGATTGAAACTGAAGACGTTTATAAAGACCGGGCAGAGAGGCCAGACCTATTTGATCTTAATAATTCCGGAGACTTATTTCTAATGAAAGATGAATGTAAGGGAATCCCGATTAGTGAAGCTGTATGCTTAAAGCCGAAAATGTATTCAGTTCTTCCAGTTGGTCATGACCCCAAAACGCCTATAACAGAGGCGGATTTTGAAAAAGAGTTAGAAGAAGAGGGTTGGCAGAAAAAGTATGGCATACGAAAGGCCAAGGGCGTTAAAAAATCCGTAGTAAAAAGGGAGCTTCGTCATGACAAGTTTTTAGAATGCTTAAAAACTCGAAAAATTACTAGGCATGACATGTATGGGCCCAAGCTTCTTTCTGATGCCCTTAGAGAGAATATTGCGGGATGCACATGTATCAGATCATGCTTCTAGAATAGAAAATAATTTGCCATTAGGTAGAACAATTTCGCATGGGATAGTTGATACATCATTGGGTGGAGGACGTTTAATTAAGCCAATTTGCATAGGGTTTATCCATTCCAGATTATATGACTCTGTTGGCAGCATTAATGTTTCTGGAGGTGGTATCTGCATATCAGCCATTTCTTGCCTTACAATGCTAGGTTGATTTGATGAAAAAGCAGTATCAATACATGGTTGTAAGATTTCATTAAAATCCTTTGTAATGCTATTCCAAATTTTTTCTTGCTCTTTGGAAGAAAAGCCATTGGCATATTGCGAAATAAGTATCTCTTTCATCCCTAAATATTTCAAATTAAGCAAATTCAGAACATCTTGATTATATGATTTAGTAAAATATTCAACCATCATTTTTAAGGCTGTATTGAAGATATCTCTAGTTACAATGGTAATTTTTGGGTGCTTTTTTATATTGCGTGCTTTAGATTTCTTTTTTTTTTTTTAACGCCACCAATAAGATCATAATTGGTTTCATCTTCTTCCTCACTTTCAGTATTAGAATCTTCCGAATCAACTTCTGAATCATCTTCTGAAACATCTTGATAATAATATCTATCATCAATGGTATTAATAGCACCTACACGTTTCTTCTTCTTGTGCTTAGCCTTGCCTGGTTTCTTAACAGGCTTTTTTGGAGAGC